CGTACATTGAATATGTGGTTGATATTAAATTTTGAATCAATCTAATGGTCAATAAGGGGGGTACCTGTTGTTATACATGTACGAGGGGTACCTGACCATAGAAGATCCCTAGTGAGTAGTAATGAGTTATTAGTATTCCACCATGTAAAAAAAAATAACTGTCACTTATTTGTATGTATATAATGATTAATTATTTTTTTTTATTTTTTTGTTGGCCATATTTACACAAAGGAGTTGGAATATTTAATGTGTTTATCTGATTGGATGTAATGTATATTTTGGTACGTCTTTTTTTTGTGAACTTATTATTTATTTAGAAATTTCAAATATGTTTTTAATTTAAAAAATAATAATTTAAAAGTAACCACAATAATAACATCTAATCACATTACACTGTCATCACATTATATGGTCAACTGTCAGTAATCAAAAGTTTAAAATGATTTTTGTAATTTTGAAGTGATTCGTATTGATTATTTAATAATTAAATGAAAGATTAAATTCATTAAAAGTAACGATTTTTTGAGGGAAAATTGTTAAATTGCCACATAGGTAAAATTAAATAAGTTTTATTAAATGCTATTAGCTAGTAATTATATATATATATATATATATATATATATATATTGGTTAACCATAGTTAATTTTGAAAAAAAAAATGTATGATTAGTTGTTAGTGGAATTTTAAGAATGCATTAAAATAATATTCAAAACAAGATGATTAAAATAGATTTATGTAATAGTGAGAGATGAATGATTGGAAATGATAGGTAGTTAAAATTATGTGAGTGGATGAATAGTGAATTAAAGTTGATGTGATATGTAATAATGATTGGTTTGTATTATTTAATTGTATGAATAATATTGAAGATAGTGAAGTTTATATATATATAATTGCTAGCTAATCCGTATTTAATAAAAATTTAATAAAAACATTTTCAGTTTCCCGCTTAAAAACGTTACATGTTAGTTTATTGATTTTTTTTTTATAAATACAGACGTGTTGATTATGTTGTGTATTGAATGTGACAATTACTAAAAAACATTTTATTAGTCAGTACTAAAATTTGTAAGTTATGATTTTATTTTATTAAATTAAAAGTGTCATTTACTAATAAACATTTATTTAGTTATTAAAATTATAATCAGTCATTTTCTTAAAATTTTAGGTTTTGCTCTATAAATGCATAAATAATCAGAGAAATTTGAAAAATACAAAACATATACAAAAATTAAAAAAACATTACAAATTATTACGAATTACAAATAAACATTTAATTAACCGCCCTTCAGCTTTGAATTGAACCTGCAAAAAATAATTAAAATATAAAAATCAGTAAACAATTTCATCATCTCATTATTTAATAAGAATATAAAATTAATACTAATGTAATGTTATAAATATAAATATTAAACTGTTCAATTTCAACAAGGCGGGAAGAATATATTTAAATCAAAATCCATCATTTCAACAAGGGGGGAAAAATTAAATTAGTTGTATAGATTAAAAAAATAAAGAAATACTATTGTTCCATGATTTTAGCATATTATTTATACATAATAATATTATTAAATGTCAGTTACAATTTCTAAAAACGAATGAAAAATAGGTTGATTTATGCACATAATATTATATATTAAATTAAATATATTAGATGAATTTGATTATCCCTTAATTTATGCACATAATATTATATATTGAATTAAATATATTAAATATACTGATTTTGACCATACTGAAACCATATAAATATGAGCAACATTCATTCACAATTTATCATTGCAATTTTCAGCAATCACCAAAAAAATAAAAAAAAATAAAAAAACTTCTCCTCATTTTCTCTATTCAGCAATGGCATCCTTTTTAACAATTTGACATTCTTGGCCAAAAACAAGAATAAGACTGCACAACTCCGATTAGTCAGACACTACACTCGGTATTATCAGTCTAATGCAGCAAAAGTCAGCGAGCACGATTTCATTTTTCACGATGTGAAGGTATATATTTTTTATTTCTCTATTATTCTATTAATTTGTTCAAACAAAATTTTATACTAACAGCCTTTGACAATGTTCATTTTTTTTAAAGGGCCAGCGTATACACGGATGGGCACCCGGATGCTTATCCAAACAGTTCGAAGACTTTAAACTTCTCGAAGGAAATATATACGAGATCAAAAATTTCGAATTGGTGGAAGATAAAAGTGCATTCAAGATAACTAAGTCGAGTCACAAGTTCATTTTCTACAAATCAACTAACATGCGGGAGATAGTTGATAATGAGTATCCGAGGTTGATGTTCGAGTTTAAGCAATTCAGCGAGCTAACCGACCCTGAGAGAATCGATCCTTCCACACCTTTTGGTAACTTATATATTTTTTTTAAAATAATACAAATTCTGGAAATCTCATAGTATTTACTATTTTTTTTTTTTTTTTTTGTAGACATGATTAGCCGTATTGTTTTGTTTCAAAACATACATACAAAAAATTCAAATAGAAGTCCAAATAGGTGTATTGACATTGTTCTTGAAGATGTTGAGTAAGTTATACTTCATACAACTTTCGATTTATTTTAATTTGACTATAAACATCTTTTATAAATTAATTTGTTGTTTTGTTGTACTATTTTATAGTGGCTGCCACCAAACATGCACACTTTGGGAAGGATATGTTGATGTCCTTCTAACTGCCTACAAACAGTCACCTCCGGCTGATTTGCATGTGCTAATAATACAACTTTGTCACGCTAAGTCATTTGATGATGGTATATATTTTTTGACTTAATTTAAATTATCATTTACTCCTATTGTTATTTTAGATTTATCTTACATTTTTTAATATTGTTCCAAAACTCCTTTNNNTTTTTTGTAGGTTCTGTTTTAGTTTCCAATATTTATGATACTACGAAATTGATAGTCTCGAATGATGTTCCTGAGATTGTTGATTTCAAGCAAAGGTATATTTCCCAAGTCTACAATGGCTATTTATTATGTAATTCTATTTTTGATTAAATAAAAAAAAAATTTATGATTATATTTTTCTTTCACTAGGTACAATTCCCACACAAGGCCAAGGGAAACTTCATTCCCTTATGTTATGTCTTTTATGTCTAACATATGTGACGACTTGCAATCCGGAAGTGCACCTATCATAAGTGTTGCCGAATTTTATACGTCCGAAGAGGTATCAATTTTACTTATTACAATTTTTGAATTACTATTACTCATTCATAATATAATCAGCAATGTTTTGAATTTTTACTCACATATTTATTTATTTTTTTTTAATTTCTAATTTTAGCCAAAAGACCATTGGATTTAACATTATTGATATTTGGAGAGATTGGTATTTTAATTCTTGCCCCAACTGCGTTCGTAAAGTCGAAACCAAAGAAGAGAGATTTTGGTGCAACCACTGCCAAGACACATTCCCTTTGCAATTATTAGGTAATTACATTTTAGAGTCCTAAAATTAACAATAAAGATTTTCTTATTTGTTTTTATTCATCTTTTATTGATAGATACAAGCTGCATATTTCGGTTGGGGACAACACGGGGATGATTCGTCTTTTGTGCTGGGACAAAATTGCTCGAGAGTTGGTTGGAAAACCACGTGATGCTGTTGTTAGTGAAATGATGGAGGCATGTGTATTTTTTTTGTGATTTTCCTCAAATGTTTTATTCTTATATTATTATATTATCCAAATTAGAATTTAATTCGAAATTTAACATGCAGGAAAATGATGGCTCGGATCTACCTATTGACCTCGAGATTTTGATACACAAAGTGCTATTGTTCAAGGTTTCAAAGAAAAAGGGTCAATTTGGATCATACAATGGTCCTTTTACCGTTTCTCGATTAACAGCCGACCATATTTTGGTCAACCAATTTGGTTCTTTGGCCACCATCTCCCAGGTTGGCCTGATTTCATATATATATATATATATATATATATATATATATATATATATATAAAATCTTACAAAGTATAATAGAAATATTATTTTTATATTATATAATATTTAATTAATTAATATGTTGTAATAATTCTCTTTCTCAATAGGACAATGACCAACTCTCCACATTGATCCAAGACTATTATGAAGTTGTTCAAGTATACATTATATTTTAAGATTTATTATTATCAGCAGCAAAATATAATATTTTCACAAAAATTATATATTTTATTCTGTAGGAATCCAATGGTGAGGAAGCTGAACCAGACAGCAAAGAAATAACAGGAAAGAGGGTTCAAAAAAAATTATTTGAAGATGACCCGAGCTGTAATGGGGAGCCAAAAGACAAGCAAATAAAAGTTGAGAAAATGTGAGGGGTTGGATGAAGATTATACTAAATTGCAAGTTGTTTATGGATATTAGTTTCAAGATTTAGATTTTATGCTTTCGGATCCATGCTGTTTCAAAACAGCATGTTCAGTAAAGTACTTAGGAAATAATATTTGGTATTACGAATAAAATGTTTTTGCCTTTTGTGTTTAAATACTTTTGTTATTTATTACTATCTTTTTGTCTTTTACTTACATGATAAAAATTAAGACAAAAATAGCAACTTCTAAACTCCTTATAACAAAATGTCAACTAATCCATAAAAAAAATAAAAAATTAAAGCCAAATCACAACTACAAACCCACAAAATGACGACTTTTCACACAGATAACAACTTTACAGTTTTAAACTTTCAGGGAAATTGTAACAGTACCAACTAAATCATGTTTTTCAAATTTTCCACAATGAATTTTCTCAATTTAATGAGACCATGATTTCAGCAGTAAATATAGATAGTGGCCCTTAAAAA